TTATTCAGCATTTTGTTCAGAATCATTTCTGTTACCCTTTTGGTTCCTTGTATGTTTCTTTTCACTACAGTATCGTGTCCCTTTGCACAAATAGATTACAATTTAGCCATTGTCCTGTACAAGGACATTGAAGCTGTTTCCACTTTTCCGCTGTGACAATCAGTCCTTTCAGAAGCATTTTTTTATTTTTTATTTTTGGTCCCGGGAATTGAACTCAGGACCTTGCACTTGCCGCTAAGCTATATCCACGGCCCCAGAAGCATTTTTATATGTTCTCTCATGTGTGAGTTTCTGTTTGATAATTCCTATAAGTAGGGTCTTGGATTATAATATATTTAATTTGATTAATTTCTTTGGAAACATCTTGACACTCTCTTGCCTGATTTTCATCATTTTCAGTTTCACTTTTTTGCATCTTTGTTTACCACTCTATGTTATTACGTCCCAGGGCACGGTCCTTTGCTCTTCATCTCTGTGCTGAGCAGGTGAATATTTAGTTCTGTGGTTTTAGGTATCATCTACACAATGTTAACTTCTCCAATTCTATCCCTAGCCTTGCCTCACTCCTGAGCTCCAAGTTGAATTCTCTCTGGCCCTCAAAAGAGATCTCAGACCTGACACGGTCAAATGGATGTCTTGATGTCCAGCTCATCCCCTTTTTCTCCACATTGCACAGCTGAAGGCCTCTCATTCTTCAGTTTTTAACTCCTGTGTCACTCCATGGAAAAGCCGCATCTTTCTGTCCCTGCTTTCCCAGCCATTTTCTATTATATCATCCTGTTTTATTTTCTGCAGAGCAGCTGTCAGTCACTATATATATATTCTGTTTTTACCCTCTGGATAAGTTTCTTGAGGGAGGGACTTTGCCTTTGTTTATCATTTTGTCTCTTTTTGTTGGAATAGTAACTAGCAGATAGGAGGAAGACAGTTAAAGCCGGGAGTGGTGGTGCATGCCTGTAATCCCAGCACTCAGGAGGCTGAGGCAGGAGGATCATTGCGAGTTTGAGGCCAACCTGGGCTACAAAGTGAGCTCAAGGCCAGCCTGAACTGCATAGTGAGAACCTGTCTCAGAAAGACAAAAAAAAAAAAAAAAAAAAAGAAAAAGAAGAAGAAGACTGTTAACTATTTTTTTTTTTTTTTGGTTTTTCTCTGGTACCGGGAACCGAACTCATGACCTTGCGCTTGCCAGGCAGGCGCTTTTGCCGCTGAGCTAAATCCCCAGCCCCGACTGTTAACTATTTAAACTTATTATCCACTTCCAAATCTGTGGATTCAGGTTCTCACCTAGTTTAAAGATTCTTCAAATTCTTGTAGCCTAGACTTCCTTAGTGGTAATTCATGTGCTGCACTGTGTCTTGGATTCATTTGTATGCCCTTTAATTGGCTTCAGTCTCAACACATTGACCCAAATTATCTTCTTTCCAATGCTGTATTGTCTTAGTCCATTTTCTATTACTATCACAAAATACTTGGGGCTGGTTAATTTACAAGGACAAGAGGTTTATGTGACTCATAGTTTTGGAGGTAGGGGAATTTGTTTTCTTTTTTTGGGGGGTACTGGGAGTCCAATTCAGGACCTTGTACTTGCCAGGCGTGCACTTGTGCCACTGAGCTATATCCCTGGCCCGGAATTTGTGATTCTAGCAAATATGAAACTTCTGGGGAGGGACTTGTGTGGTGTCATAACATAGTAGGAAGTGGAAAGGAGGAGCTAGTACACGTGGGCGAGCACACTTGTGAGAGCCTAGGGCTCGTTGCCAGGCTTGCTTTATTACAACAACCCGCTGTGGGGAGAACTAACCCACTCTAAAGGAACTGAGTGAATCTCCACGAGGGACGAGCCCTCCTGACTTCAATGACCTCACAGACGTCTCACCGTCTGTGTTGCGTTGACAATTAAATCTCAGTGCAAGTTTTGATGGGGAGAGACCATGTTCAAACCATAGCACTCTTCTCTTAAAATTTTTTTTTGATGACTGGCATCCTCATTTTCACATGGATTTGCCTCCCTCCAGCCCTCATTCCAAGTCGTTATTACTTGTTTTTACCTTCTGTACAGTTCTTGTGTCCTTCCCTCCCTCCAGCCATTGTCCTGCAGGGAACCCTCACTTTGCCCCAGGGCTACTTCAGAAGCTCTTGTCTTTCTCCTCTGTCTTTCTGGCTCCAAGGCCTTAAGTACCATCTGCACGTTCACACCTCTTTTCCCTCCGACCTCCCTCCAAGCTCTGCTTTCATTCTAGGCTTCTGTGGTAACACTTCGGTTTTCATCTTATTTGATAGACCTGGCCTTCTGTCATTTTCTGGACCATTGCTCTCTTCCACACTATTCTAGTGTTCTTCTAGTTAGTGTCCTACAATAAGGTGTGTTACAGAAAGTCCTTGGCTTTTCTTGTCTTCCCTGCTTTTACCTTCGATCGACTCTAATATGTGCCCTGTGATGACTTCAGGTTGCCCTGTATCAGATACAGTGCAGTCACGACCTTGCGTGGCTTCTAGTCGCTCAGGCTTGCTGCTGCCTTGAAAGTTAAGATCTGAATCGTCAGCACAACCGCGAAGGGTGTACTTCCTTTGTCTCAGCTCCTGGTTTTTGGAAGACCATCTCCCCGTGAGGCTGGGCGTTCGCTCATGCTAGTTCTTAGTTCACAGTTTTCTTCCCCCGTCACTCCTACCTCCCTGGTGAACTTTTGTTCATTTAACGGGTATCTCACCATCTCCTCTTCCAAGAAGTCTTTTGATACACTGAGGCAGAAATAAGAAATTCCTCTCAGTGTTGTCTTCGTGGTTTTCTTAAAAATTATTATCTCTACTATAATACTTGAATCTTTTATTCAGTGAATGTTCATTGCTTGCTTGCTGTATGTTAGATATTACTGTGGGCATCGCAGAGAAGAGTAAACAAGACCGACAAGGTTCTTATTTTTAATGAGTCTACATTTTTGAGGAGAGGCGAGAGAAAAAAATAAGCCATGTTATTTTAGATAGTGATAAGTGGTAGTAAGATTAAATAAAATCAGATGGTGTGGTAATGCAATAGAGAAAGAGTATGTATATCTTTGTACATGTGTGTGGGAGGTTATGACGCTTCAGATGCAGTGAGGTACGGTGTTTGAGTTCAGACTAAAGATATTACTCAGCTGTGCTGAGATCTGAAAGAGCTACGTTCTAGGCAGAAGGAACAGCAAGTATAGTACAAAGAGGAGCCAGAATGAGCTGGGGGTACTTAGGCAGAAAACAAGAGTATCAGAGGCAGGAGCAAGTGAGCTGGGGAAGGGAGCCCTGCGTGGTACAACACCAGGGAGGTAGACAGGACCAGGGGTGTGGGACCCCAAAGGTAAGATTCGTCAGTTGTAAGAGTAGTGGTGAGAAGCCGCTGGAAGATTTAAGCGAGGGAGTGAGGTGATCTTGTTTGTTTCCATCCTTCTGGTTTGTAACAGGGAGGAGGAGTGTAGCGGGGCAGAGACTAGCTAGGAGGGCTGGGGATATAAGCTCAGCTGCACAGGCGCCTACCTGACAAGCACAATGTCCTGAGTTCAATTCCTGGTACCAAAAAAAAAAAAAAAAAATAGCTAGGAATCGTCGCCCCTCCAAGTAAAGAGTGTGGCAGCTTGGATTACTGTGGTATATTTAGTGTCCATGGACAGGAGCGGAGTGACTCAGCATACGTTTTAAAGCTGGGATGGTAAGACTTGCTGATAGATTGGATGTGCTGGATTTAGGGAAAGGTGGATCTGCCAACTCACTGTGGCCGTGGTAAGAGCACAGCTGGGCGTTCTGAGTAAGCGCCAGAGATAACCTACCTCATTACTCTAATTGTTTTTGTTTCACTCTCCCTTAGACTGTGTGCCAGTCTTCGTTTTATTTCTTGGTTGCAGCATAAAGTAGATGGTAAATAAATGATTGCTTGCAGGTTTGAATTTACAGTGTGGCTTTACAAATATACTGTTTTGCCCATATTTAGAATGCTTTGGGACCACTGACCCTTGCCACAAGTTTATTAATTTAAGGGATATAAACCTGTGAATAGTAAAAAAAAAAAAACATGATGAGAGAGGTCAGTCCATTTTCTTAGGGGTTCATAGCACAGCCTGAACTGAAGCCGTGGCTGTTCCACTACTGAAGCTGTAGTGGAAAGGGCCGTGGACTGGATTCAGAAGGCTTCGAGCCTCGGCTCTGCGACTTTATCCTTCCGAAAAGGTCCTGTCCAACGGACACATCTTACCTTTGGTGTCCCACATCCTCTGGTCCTGTCTGCCTCTCTGGCATTACACCACGCAGGGCTCCTTTCCCCAGCTCACTTGCTCCTGCCTCAATACCCTGTTGTGTGCTTCTTAAGCATCCCCCCAAAGCAGTTTTTTAGCTGTCATCTGCGGGTTACATCAGCAGATTTCTCAGACAGCATTTTTGTGAGCAGCAAGTCTTTTGTAATGAAAAAAAAAAAGATACTTTGTGAGGGCTGTTAAAATAATTGGATTATAGTGCTGGGGGTTTAGCTCAGTGGCACAGCGCCTGCCTGGCAAGAGCAAGGTCATGAGTTCGATTCCCGGTACTGGGAAAAAAACAAAAACAAAAACAAAAAATAATAATAATAATAATTGGATTATTCACTGCATTCCTCAGTTTCAAAGGTGATTAGATCAGAGTGTCAAGGAATTTGTACTTAAGCAGAGGCATATGAATGTGCAGAAACTGGGGGAAGACACGAACCACTGGAAAATGGTGTGTGTTTTCAGAAATACATAGGAAATTAATTTTGTTTGGCTTTGTTCTCTTCTCCTTCACAGATAAATTGAGTCATTCCCTAGCGCCATTAATAGGGTCTTTTTCTTTAAAATCTAATAAACATACCTAGTTTGTGGCCTGTTTACCCATTGTAGTGTGCATAGAGGAATCATATGTAATTAGTATTGCTTGTGGGCTTTTCTTTTTAACATGAATGTATTGATGAACTCAATCTGACAAAATTTCCTCATGGTGATTATTCATTGTATTTTTACATCTAGGGTAAAAATCATGGTAAGAAACTCCGAAACTACTATGCAGCAAATAGCTGTCCTCCTCCTGCCAGAATGAGCAATGCCGTGGAGCCTGCAGCTGCTCCTGTTGTTTCAGTCCCTGCGCAGGTGAGACATGCATCGGGGTGAAACAGTGTCAGGAAACACTATACGTGACTATGCACGTATAGTCGTGAATGAAATTTGTCATTCATGTGTCCATTAGGACATAGTTTGTACAAATACTCCTGAGAGGTCCTACTTGGTACCTCTAACTTCTTGAACTGTGTACTGACTTTATTGCATGTCAGAATCTTTGAACTTTGATATTTATGAAGCACATATTTTAATGTGTCTTTCTTTATACATTTCTCAGAATTGTGGGGTAAATATCCCTGAATGAAAAGAGAGGTGTAAAAAAAAAATTATTACCATCAGTTCTACTTATATTGTATCTTCCATTTACAAGACATTTCTTTTTTTTATTTTAAAGATAAAAGAATGAAAACATATTAAAAAATACACATACATTTACACAAGAACACAAAAACAATACAAGCAATACGGAATTTCAGACAAGGTGATAGGAAATTAACAGTGGTTGTTGTATTACATATTGATGTCTTCCAATTGGTTACTCAGATAAATAGATATAGGCATTCAAGACATTTCTTGAGATTGCCCTTTCCTTACCTCTGTCCAAAGAGCTGGTATAAATACTGTGTAGACTTTGGAATTATGAGACACACTTGAGAGGCCAGTTCCTTTGGCTCTTTGAAAGTCAGAGCAAGTGGTTCAAGCAAGGTATTCCTGCACTTTAGTAGCCTTTGAAATATGGACTGTACTCTTGAACCTATCTTTGAGATATTATCTGCCCACAGAATGACATGAAGAATAATTATTGAGTATGTTTGCCAGGTGTTCTTTTATGCTTTATTTCCTTTAGGACTGGGACTAAGGTGAGATGAAGGATACCTTGATTTGGGCACAAAGTTTAAGGAGGACTCAAAAAACAAACAACAAACAAAAAACTCATACTCAGTATAAGTCCATTAATGAAACATTTAACAAATTCAAAATTAATTTAAAAAATAGTGAACAAATCATCAAAAACTTAAAGGTAGGATAAGTATTACTGATTTTCCTTCTGCTTTAGGCTGCAGGATGACTTGGCATGGTAGTGGTGCTGACTCTGTTTTTCTGTATAACTTTTGATATTTTATTCACTTTTTCCATTCGATTTCACTCTTTAAAATACTTCATTAAAATATTATTGAGATTACTAAAGATTTTTCTCAAAAACAAAATAACAAAAACAAAGACAAAAACAAAACAACACAAAAACAGTAAAAATGATACAGAATTCAAAGAAAAGACAATAGGAAATTAACAATGGTTGTTGTATTAATATTATTATCTTCAAAGCAGTTGCTCAGATTACCAGATACAGGCATGCAAGATTGATCAAAGAATTAAACATTAACTGTTCCTTTCAATAAACCATTAGAAATTAGTAGTAGAATAGCTATCTTGTGTATATGTATATATTTTTGTGTCTTAGCTATCTTGTGTATATCTATATATAGGTATATATATATAGATATATAGATATAGATATATTTCATTTCCTTCTTTCTTTTCTCCTTTCCCTCATCCCAGTTGTTCTTTCCTTTCGAGCAGTTTCTTTCCCTTTCACAGTATCTATTTACCTTTCAGATTTTATTAATTCTACTAAAGGTCTTTGATGTTCCTTTAAATTCTGTGCACGAAATAAGTGTCTCATTCCAGACTGGGGCCCCGACTTCACTGAATGCTTGCAGCAACTTAGAGGTGTGAGCCTTATTATTCACAGTGCAGTCCATGGGCCAGCAGCATGAGCCCCTTTACAGTTTCATTAGAAGCCCCAGAAAGCTAAGTAACTTTCTTCAGTGTTGTATATTTTGTAAAGTGGTGAAGCAAGAATTTCTTAGGATCTTCTAACCACCGTGGCGTAATTTTACTTTTCTGGAGTCAGTGTTTCAGTACTGAATATGTGGATCACGTCCAGCTGTTCTTCCTTCTCAACGATTTGAGTGGAAAAATGAGATATATTAAAATGGAATCAGAGGACGTGAAAAACACCTAGAGTTTTTCAAGCGAGTAGTTTTCATGTTGTTGTTTCCTAAAGGCCACTGTAGAGTTGGATGGCCCGTCCCTGTCAGGGATTGTTTTTGCCTGGCTCCGCCCTTTGGAAAAGCAGCCTGCACTGCTTTGTTTTTTTTTTTTTTTTTTGCGGTACCAGGGATCAAACTCACGACCTTGCGCTTGCCAGGCAGGTGCTTATGCCTTTGAGCTATATCCCCAGCCCAAATAATTTTTTTTTTCCAGTAACGGGAATCGAACTCACAACCTCATGCTTGCCAGGCAAGCCCTGTGCCGCTGAGCTCAATCCCCAGCCCCCTGCACTGCTTTGTGTAGCAGCAGAGCCCTTGTGATTTTTGAAAGCAGCTATCATATACCCAGAGAATCTTCTGTTCCGGATCAAACAGTTCTGTTTTCTTCAGCTGTTCCTGAAATGATATGATTTCCAGAGTCTCTATCCCATGTATTTTTCTCCTCTAGCCAGAATCTACTTTGTAACCTTTTGATAACATAAACATAGTTGAATGTCTACTGTCTGTCTTCCAGGCACTGTTAGGTTTCCTTTAGCATGTTGTTCCCCACCCTTTAACACATCATCTGGGTCTTCTAGTTATTTCTTTCCTGATTATGTTACATCGGTACCTAGTTTGTAGCCTTTATGAAGTCAGGGGCTTTACTTAAAAAAAAAAATACAGGACTGTATCCTTCTGAACTGCACAGCAAGCCCAGTAAGCAGCTGGCACGTAGCAAATGCTTAGTGATGTTTTCTGAGCAGACTCTACTTGCTCTGAAAATGAGATTTTAGGCCTTAGCTATTTATTTACATGTTATTTATTTCTCTAAATCCTCTACGTTGGAGTTTTTAAACTCACCTTAAAATTCTTTTCAATAGCGATAGATAGCAGCAAGCTATTCAGAGTTCGGTACATTGCCAGACGTGATTATAAGACAGAAGCATGATTCAAGCACCTCCAAGCCTTTTTTTCCTCTGGACAGCGGCGTGCTGGTGGTCTCGCTGTACCCTTTGGCTGTTTTCAGTTCTTAGAAGGACCTTTGAGAGAAGGAACGGATGAGCTCCATGTTTTCTTAAACCTTGCTTCTGCTGTGTTGTGTCTTTGATGTCAGATGGGCTCCTTTAAGCCAGGAGGCAGAGTGATCCTGGCCACCGAGAACGACTACTGTAAGCTCTGTGATGCCTCCTTCAGTTCGCCGGCTGTGGCGCAGGCTCACTATCAAGGGAAGAATCATGCCAAGAGGCTGCGGCTGGCTGAAGCTCAGAGTAACTCGTTCTCGTAGGTATTGCCATTTTCTCTGAGGCCAGTGTGTTACGTGAGACGGACTATCTGTAAAGAGAGTTGAAAGGCATCCTTGTTTGGAATTCTCTCACTCTTTCAAAATGTCTTTTCTCCAGGGACTCATCAGAGGTGGGTCAACGGCGGGCCCGGAAAGAAGGGAATGAATTTAAGATGATGCCAAATAGGAGAAATATGTATACAGTACAGAATAATTCAGGTATCCTGTATATTTTCACATACTTTGGAAATGTGCACATGCATTCCATTAATGGTCTCTTATTTTTATTTCCTTTAAAGTAATGGATAGCCCTGAGAAGTCAGGGTGAGCCATTGTTTTGTTGGCCTAGTGGCCTTCCATGCTGGTGTTTATTTCAGATCTTATTTATTTCCTACTTAGTGTATTACGTATTTCTTTCAGGTTTAAACTGTTGTCTGTGTTTGAAGGTCTCTTATCATAGTTCGTTTATGTTTATTTTGTTATTTGCCAGCTGGAAAGTGTAAAATGCCTAATGAAAATGGGCTGATGCTTTAAACTTGCACTATGTTCAGATCACATTTCTTGGGGAAAAGAAAAATAAATATGGGGGCTGGGGATTTAGCTCAGCGGCACAGCACCTGCCTGGCAAGTGCAATGTCGTGAGTTCGATTCCTGGTACCAGGAAAAAAAAAAAAAAAAGAAAAAAGAAAAATAAGTACAGCAGTTGTTTTAAACCAGGGTAGAGAATCACAATTTTCTAAGGTGTTCTTATAAAATGTGCATACCTGAAACCATTACCATTACGTAGAGATTTTCAGTCAGTAAGTTTTGGAGTAGGACCCGGACCTAACTGTGCTTTGAAAATCCTTCCTTAGTGGTTCTGATACACACATTCAATCCAGAATCCCTTGTTTAAAGGAATTGTATTTTCTTGTCTTTAGTTGGGACACTAGGACTGAGGAGACCCTAATCCTTCTCCCATCTCAGCCCATGAGAGTACACAGGACAGCAGAGGTCATTTATGTGACCTGGAAAACAAACAGAACAATGTTAAGACATCTAAGAAACACTGCAGTATGAATAGTAAAAGTCTAACATATAAGTAATTATAATTAATAAAAGTGTCATTTTAAAAAACCAAAATTATCAGACTGGGTAAAAGAAATCTAGCTAAAATGAAGGAAGCCAGGATAGCTGTGTTAATGTTAGATAAATACATTTTAGGATGAGTGTAGTATAGATTGTATTCTCTAGTTAGAATGCAATTAAATGAGATGTCAATAATAAAAAAGTAAAAACAAAATTTCTATGTGTTTGGAAATTTTTGAAATATTTCTAAATGATTCACAGTTCAAAGAAGAATCATACTAGAATTTAAAAATTCTTAGGGGCTGGGGATTTAGCTCAGCAGCAAAGCGCCTGCCTGGCAAGCGCAAGGCCGTGAGTTCGGTTCGCGGTACCGGAGAAAAACCAAAACCAAAAAAAAAAAAAAAAAAAAAAAAAAAAAAAAAAAAAAATTCTTAGAACCAAACAGTAATGAAACTATCTTATCAATAATTGTAAAAATTGTAAAAATTGTGAAAATTGTATTTTGAAAAAAAATATATTATACAAGAAAAGAAAATTAATAAACAATGGCCCAGGAAAGTCAGTAATGTAGAAAGTCAGTAATGTAAAAAGAAGAAAATAAAATTCTCAGCAGTGTCATCAACATTTCTATATGTCATCTCAATCTTTTCAGATGTGTTACTCCTTTACATATAAATAGGGAACTGGGTGTGGTGTGCACACCTGTAATCCCAGCCCTCAGGGGGCTGAGGCAGGAGGATCACCATAAATTCAAGGCTAGCCTGGGCTACAAAAAAAGGATTATATTTTGTGATATTCTCCATTTACTTAATAGCATATCACATTTTAATGTAATTAAGATTTTCTATAGCATTATATTTATTGTCTTCATAGGTATTTTTTCTTTTCGTTCTTTTCTTTTCTTTCTTTTGGTCATGATGGCACCAGAGTCTTGCAATGCTAGGCAAGTGCTCACCACCAAGCTGCTTCCCCAGCCTACACCACAGTTTCTCATTGCATTCATTACCGTACTTTTTCAAATCATGCATTTTTGGGTTTCTCATTCCACCAAAATTTTGCTTTTATAAACACAGTTGAAGTGAATGTTTTGCTGGTAAAAATCTCTGTGCAAACACTCTTAATGTTTTCTTAGAGTAATTTACAGAAGTAGAATTTTTAGATTAAAGGGTTAACATAATTACAGGAATTGTAATGCTTGGAAATTATTTTAAAAATTGTGTTCACTTTTGTTGGTTTTTTTTTTTGTTTTTCTTCTGGTACCAGGAATCAAACTGCCAGGCAGGTGCTTTGCCACTGAGCTAAATCCCCAGCCCCTGTGTTCACTTTTTAAAGACATTACCATTTCAAGTCTGGATTTGACTCTACAATAACCTTCCTGACAATAGTTTGGGAATCATTTTGTCTTTGTAGATTGAAACCTATCTAAATTTATAGTTCAGAAGAAACCCCATTTACTTCACCTTCATTGAAGGCTAGAAAGCTGTGAATTGTACCATGTGCTTGAGAATTGCAGATGACAGTGAGACCTGGTCAGAGGGCCTGTCCTAAGTGAATGCTGTTCTTTTATCTCTTGCTTTAGCAGGTCCTTATTTCAACCCGCGCTCTCGGCAGAGAATTCCGCGTGACCTCGCCATGTGTGTTACTCCGAGCGGCCAGTTCTACTGCTCAATGTGTAATGTCGGGGCTGGTGAAGAAGTGGAATTTCGGCAGCATTTAGAGAGCAAGCAGCACAAAAGCAAGGTGTCTGAACAGCGGTACAGGAATGAGATGGAGAACCTGGGTTATGTATAGTGGTTGTCATGTTCAGATGGAGCAGCTTGTCCTGCCTGTTTGCCTTCTGTCTACTTGCCCTGCTTTGTGGTCCTTTGATATGAGTCCACTCTTCTGCTTGATGTTAATAACGTGTACCCTGCAATGGTACCATGAGATGTCAAAATCCCGGGGGCGGGGGGAGGGAGGCGTGCTTCTTAGGTCCTTACACTTTTCCAGGTCCACTGTGTTGAGCTATTTATAGCATGTGACCTACCTACCCCATGGGAAATAACACTTTACCTTGGCTGAGTTCTGGTTGACTTAATAATATGACTACAAATTTCATCTGCTCTTGCGGTTTTAGTTCTACGTACTGTTAGATAAAGAATTGTGTTGAGTTGAGTTCTTACTTGAGATCACAATGAAAGCTGAGATTTGTTTCTCAAGGCCTCAAGGGAATCATCACCTCACTGCACTGCCAGTAGGATGTCTCATTGCAGTCCGTACTAGGGTCTTTCCACGAATGGTTCCCTATGTCATGCCCCTCCATCACTGAAGTGCAGGTTTCCTTGAATTCAGACATTTTCAGTGTGCTTGTGGTCCTCCAGACGGCTGGAGGTCCTTTCCCGTTGTGGATTTCACGTATTTGATTGCCACCTTCTCCTCTCCCCTCACTCTCCCGTTGAATCCTCTTGTCTCATGGGCTTATTTTCATGCCCTACGTGCTGTTTTCCAAATTGTGGATTTGGATGCAGGAGTTTGAGATGGGCATGGTTTTAAAAAGAATATTTCCCATCTGATTGAGGAAACATGAATTTGTATTTGCTTTTTCAATTTAGAGTTTGATCTTCATTGATAGTAGTGTAACATGCTATTTATGATGGTCTTAACCATAACATAAGATCTCTTCATATTTTCTTTGGGCAGGAATTTTTAGATGAACCAGTCCTTACACTATTTCGTTCTCTGTTTGGTCCGTTTGTTGACGGTCCTGAAAAAAACCATTAATACCATTACCTACTGTTTCATAGGTAGAGGAGAATTTTTTTAAAAGCGGGTCAAGTTTCAGTATCACCATTTCCAGTAGAAAATTGTTTTTGCTTTTAAAATAAGAAGCCACTTGTATGTCTAGATTACCAATGGAGTATTATGTGAAGTTTCCTTAACTACATTTGAATCTACTTACTATATTTTACTTTACGTGGAGAAGATAGGTGCTCATCTATGCTTCTTTTGAAAGACCAGGCTCACCAGGAAGTTTATAGTGAGCAGTAGTATTTTTGTATGTTGGCAGATGCTTATTTGATTCCTTGTTATTAATTGAAACTCTTGGTAACCTTGAGAATTGTACAGGCAAATAGATAAAAAGGTATGATCATCATTTGTTTTTGGTAATACTTTGGATCAATTTTAAACAGTCTAGACCTATAATTAAAATTATAGTTTCTGTAAGGTGGTGGTTTATTGAAAAGTAGAATTATTTGGTAAATTTTTTTTTTCTCCCAGAAACAGAAGAATGAAATAACTTTCTGTTTAGATTCTCTCTGGATCTGTAACTCTTGTAATAGCCCTTTTTGCAGTAGCCGAGTCTCTAAAGTATAGTTAAATAGGGCTATTGAAGACTTGTCTTATTGGCCAGTAGGTTACTCATTTTGCTGCTAAATGTATTTTTTGGTAGATGTTAATATAGTACGGGTTTTACGATTATTTAAAAAATCTCATTTTTTTTCTATAGGTGTGTGTACACATATCACACGTTACCCTCCCCTCCGAATTTCATATGATTCCCTGGAGAGAATTTCACTGGATCCTTACTCCAGATACCATTAAATATTGTGGATATGAATTTACTTTTTGTAAAAGCAGCATTCATCTACTTTCAGTTTTTCCTTTGGAAATGAAATTAAAGGATGTGTTTCCCTGCCCTCTTCACCGAACAGGTTCAATATATGTGTACAAAAAGCAGTGGACTTAAGGGCTTGATGTTTTTTTCAGGCCTTGTATATTCAGGTTTCCAGTTTCCCAGTGCCCTTAATGGATGTTATGAATGCATAAGCATATTTTCTTTTAAAGAAAGAAGTTAGATTTATAGTGTTATTTCTTACTTGCTATATTTCTTTGCACTAACAGAGAATGATGTGTTTGTTTTATATGACACTTTAGTACCATATTGCCTAAAGGATTCAATTTCTTAATTTCCGAATTCTAGTCGATAAATACCTTCCACGATCACTTACAGAGCTTTCCTGCACATCTGAAAGACATCACAGATCTCTATGGTAGTAGCTTGTGTTTTGGGCTAGTTACGTTGCAGTGTTCTTTTTGTTCCACAGGTGAGACAGGGTGGCGGAAGCTGCCGTCACTGCGTGGAACGGTTTCTTGTATTGGCGCACTTTGTGTAGACAGTGTTTCTTCCTGCTTGATAGGCTGCTGTTGCCTCTGAATTAGTGATACGTAATCTCGGTTGATTTCATTTTGTGAAGTCCAGTCCTGCTCTGTAATGTGCTTTAGGATCTGTTCATCAGAAACCATGCCTCTTTTTATATGCTGTGTACAAGGATGGACAGAGGCCTAAACAAAGAAAAACCTTTAGCTAAAAAAAAAAGTAGATTTCAGTAATCATCTGTAAGAATGTGTAGCATCAAAATCTCTTTTCTCTGTGACTGTCCGTGTGTACATTGCCATTAAAAAAATCAATATTAGAAGATAATTATCAACTCTTCTAAGCTACTGAGAGCGAAAGGTTATAAAGGAAAATTTCCATGTTTCAACTAAGATTGGATTGTATATGCCTTTAAAGTGTGTGTGTTCTTGAAGTTTAGTTATAAAATGCAATGTGTCCTGTGATCCCCTGAGTCCTCACTGAATAGAAAATACTTCTTTGGTCTTGTCTTGGGTCATGTCTTGGTCATGTCCTGCAACTTGTAAATATGTACATGTTGTTTATTATGTTGATTTGCTGGTCCTTTATTGCACTGAATTCTGTAAAGTGAATACTTTTTTATCATTCATTCTGAAAAATTCCCCCACCACACTCTCTGCCACTTTTTTCCTCTTTAATTAATTGATAGACTTAGACACCCATAGGATTTTTGAGACTCTGAGTGTGAATGAAGAACCATAGCTGAGATCTTCACATATGTCTCACTTAACAGGCTAATGGGAAGCACCAGGTCTTCCACCTCCCTTTGCAGAGCTGTTCTGTAGAACTGTATGCTTGTTTATGGCTACCGAGCTACAATTTGAACACGAAGGGAAGGAGGAGTATATATATACATTTATATGTTCATGCACCTACCTGTATATGTATATATTTGGTTAAATCTTCCTCTGCAGATAGGTTCTAAGGATTAGCAGTGGGATTTATGGTCTCTTCATGCCCGAGTTGTCTGCTACTGTGAACAACAACAGTTTGAGGCCGGTGCAGTGACCTACGTAAAATGCGTCTTGTTTGTGACAGGGAGAGACACGTAAGGAACAGTTCAATACAGTGTTCTCTGCAGAGAGGCCTAAAGGTGGTAGATGCGCAGCCTGGCTTGGTTCTGTCAGTGTCAGAACTTAGGCTGGAAGTACGCACTTAAGAACTTGGCGGGACTTGTTCTAAGACGATAGACACGAGTACTCATTTCTTAGAAATAAGTGGAGGAGTGATGTGTTAGGGTAGGCAAGGTTTTGAAAAGGTGTTTTAAAATATCCCACCTTACCATCTGTTTTTTGTTTTTTCTTACCAGACAAATCACTGTTGAGGCATTCCATGTATGATAAAAAGTGTTGCATTGCTGTTTTCGTGTTCTTGGTAGGGGAACTCCTACCACTGTGAGCTGTTACTGTCAATGTAGCTGAATGAACAAATAGCTGTAAATAGCCTCTCATAAGATTTCTACTGATAACTGTTGGATGTTTTCTTCCCATTATAAATGGGGGGATCATTTGTAAACTCCCTTTCTGGGTAGCTACCAAAAAAAGTACTGGCTTATGGTCCCGTGTGACCCTGTGTCCGTTAAGCCCAGAATACGAGTGCCTTTAGCAAGTGTTAGCATTTCACAGAGGAGAGATGACAGAATTACTGCTGTTAGTCATGGTTCACAGAACAGGAGCTTGGAATAGCAGAGGTCTGTGTGGATTCTGTTCTACATGTTTTTGTTGCTGCAGTCTCAATTTGATAGTAAGTAAAACTTAATTGGTCAGGAAACATATACCTTGAACACAAATCCAGGTATCTCAGGCTGGCAGTCGTCACCTTGATGTGTTACTTTCATATGTAGTGAATGGTAGTGTGGGAGATTCGGGGAGCTTTACACTGATGTTTGGATAAATTCTTTATTCCAGTGTCTTTTTCCAAAAGACTTGCTCATGTGTTTCTAGAGGAGAGAATGACATATTTCAAATAAAGTGTATTATCAACCTGGCTGGCATGATAATTATTGTGTTAACTCATCTCAGTTTTAAAAGAGATATCTTTACAAATCAAGTCTGAGGGCTTTAAAATTTCCCTCACTTCAATTAATTTAAAATTCTAAGTTGCCTGAGTAGCTAGAATCTTTAAAACACACCGCTAATCTTCCTTTGTTACAGAAACACTAACATTTTTGCATGAAAAACTTTAAACATATGTCAGAATAGAAAATGCTTTACGACAGACCCCACTGGAATCTCCCATTAACGTTTTGCACACTTGTCTTTCCACATAGGTATCTGCCCCTCACCCCGTCCCTCCGTCCGTCCATTAGGATAGGCATCGCAGTGTGAGTTTCAGACAGAGCACTTCCCCCAGGGGCATTAGCAAAGGTTTAATACTGATTTAAACATTCATAGCTTTTGACAGCGGCGTGTGAAGTCGATACCCTGCGCCAGTTAACATCCTGGTTCTCTCCCCTGCGGACTCCTGTCTTCCAGTTTCTGTTCTTGTGTGTGCGTGTAGCGAAGGAAGGCAACTTTTTCAAACGGAAATTTTCTGAAGTTGGTTATTTTACATGCTTAATTGTCAACAGTTTTCAAGTTTCACGGTAAGAGTTTTTTCTCTTCTGCTGGTGGTGTTTTTGCTGAACTATGCAGCTTCTTCAGAAAACTGTAAATTCGGATTGGGGTTCATGAAATCGGCGTATACCTCACTTCACCAATTGCTGCTTTTCCTCCTGTCCCTTCTGTCAGCTGCTCTACCGGAGGGTAGAGGGGGGAAGGGATCCAGCCCATGTATGATGAGCTGTTTCCAATGACTTGAGAACAGTGTCAGTAGTTTAGAAACTATTAATTCATCAAAGGAATTTGATTTCAGTTGCCTGAGCATTGTAATTACCCGTGCTTCCTCTAGCTGGAATTAGCAAAATTTACAATGATCGTACTGTACAGTGAGTTGTTGAAATTGTGAGCCTTAGTAACTATATTTAGCTTTCCCCTCGATACTGTTTAGTCTTTTGGATGTACGCCTTTATTTTTATGTTCACTTTTTGTGGGTCGATCTGCAAAATGTAAGCAACTTCAGGTCAAGATGATGCAATGAGCAAAACTGAATCAGAAATGAAATTTAAATGTTCCCGATTTATATTCTTGTGCTTCGTAGATATAGTTCCTGGTTTCTGAAACAACTGAACACTTCCTTTGGACCCTTTAAAAGAAGCTATGTATTTTTACCTCTTAGATGTTTATTTTTAGACAGTTCACAGTTCTTTTAACTTCACAATATTCTTATGGCCATAGCACTTAAGTAAACCCATTGCAGTCACTAAAATCTCACTATGCCATTTAAATACCAACTAACAATGCAGGGCTTGTCAGATTTCTTTTTACCTTTTTTTTTTTTTCCAATTTTTTTTTTGTCTTTTTGAGTTAGGGTCTTGCTATGCAGTTCAGGTTGGCGTTGAGCTCACTTTGTAGCTCAAGCTGGTCTCGAACTCGAGAGGATCCTCCTGCCTCAGCCTCCCAAATGCTGGGATTACAGGTGTGCGCCACCATGCCCAGCAGATTTTTTTTTTTTTTTTTGGTATAGGGAATCGAACTCAGGACCTTGCGATTGTCAGGCAGGCACTTGTGCCACTGAGCTATATCCCCAGCCCTTCTTTTTACCTTTAAATGGCCTTCATGATTCTCTCATCCCTGTGTAAGTACTTAAGTGACCCCCTCACTAGTGAAAATAAATGTTAATATCACTGGTTATATGTGTATTCTCTACATGAAGTTTTTTTTTTTTTTAAGAAAAAGTAACTCCATATTTTGAATGAGCAATATTATCCTAGGACAAAGCATATATAGTTTATTTCTACGCTGCAAATCTGGCATTTATGGGAACAAAACTCTTTTCAGAGTGGCTATTTTTTTTGCCTTCTATTGGAACCTGAGTGTCTTCCTGTGGTATTGTAAACCAGTGTGCCATTTTGTAAGAATTTCATGTTGATTCTGCATTGTTTGGTGTGCACTTTGAGGTACCTCTGTTGACCATGGTGATCTGGTGCGAGTGGGTGTGTTTGCTTGGAAATGCCTTACTAGAGTATGTCCGGGTCTGCTTTGAAGCAGTGTGCGTATCTGTTGGGACAGAAAGTGTCCTTTTGATGTGTGCTCTAGAGTCAGAAGTAAGACTGATTTTACTTTCACTGTAAAGGTTGTATTTCAGTGCAGCTATTGGCTTAAGAATAAAATCATGGGAAACCAAGGGACATTGGAACCCTTCCTGAACGGCATGGTAACTGTTTAAACTGCTTTGGTTACTTTATAAGAACTATATCTTGGTAAAAGATACAGCTAAAAAAATGCCAGCCCAAACTGTATGAAATTGAGGTTGTTTCATAAAATTTTCTTTAAATGTCACACAGGGGTTTCAGATCTTTGTATGCTACGGGAGCGATGTGCCAGTCACTGCTTTGGAAATCTGTTTTTGTTCTGGGACTGTCGTGGGATTAAAACCAATCAACTGTGAATTGTGAAACTGAAATTGCCCTTTTGGTTTTGTTTTCTTCAGCATATTGAATATAGAAACCTGAAAGTTAGTTACAATTTATACTGCTTATGTTGACGGCTCATTTTGGCTGTATATTCTCATGTACTGATTTCCGATAAAAGCTTGATGTTATTCTAACAGGCATTTTGTGTTCAATTTAATAAAACAGTTTCTGAGTCTTGTCTGCAAATGGTTTGGTGATGAGCTGGAGATCGAGGAAGACGGTAAATCGTCAGCACTGAGGTGTCCTTCCCATGCTGATCGTGAAGGAATGTGGGGTCCCCATTCCTCAGTCCGCACATGCTCTGCCACACACTGCCTGAGCTCACGCAGCGCGCCGGGCACCCTGGGGGAGGCCGTGGAGCTGACCTAGCATTGCCTTCCCCGTCCCTGGGGTTGGCCTGGGGCTGCAGTGAGCTCTCAATTTGAGTGATCTGTTTTAACACTTATCTTCCCTTTAAATCTGAGAAAAGCTGGCCTTAGCAGGACCACAGCCATTGCTTCTGGAAACAAACACACGAAAAAGCTTATGCTTGCTAATCTTTTGGCTGTTTCGTATATAAAATACTCTTACAGACACAGTTTGTGTATGCAATAGATTATTGAAATGTGGTCCTCTGAGCACTCTCGTTTATATGCAGTGTGCTTTTGAATTTAAATGCTCATTTTAAAGGGTAGATTATCGGCTGTAAGAGGCTGTTATGCTTTGTTTAATCGGGATGCAAGACACATACGCTGAGTGTCGTGGGAAAATTCTTGTGTCTGTACCAAAAAAAAAGTTTCTGAATGAAGTGAATAGATCGCACAGAATTTTTGTGGTGTAAAGTACTCAAGCATCAATACATTTATTAAATCATCTCCAAGAGATTTTTAGCTTAAAAGGAAGCTGTGATAATTGGTATAAAAAGTCTTAAGCCACTAGATTTTCAGCTTTTTTTCAGGTATTTCTGAGGCCTACTCATTCCCTGGAAATCATTTGAATATCAGTCACTGGGTGTTACACTTTAAAATCACCAGCATGTCAAAGGCTTCAGCGAACTTTTCCAGGTCTTACAAATTGATATGAGATTATCAGGAGATCGGAAATATACCTTGTTATGATGAATTTTAAGACTCAGCATTTGAGCTTAGGCCTAACCCACCAAGTGTTATTTTTATTTGTGAGATATTCATAAGCTGTTGAGAAGTGGGAACTTAAGAAAAACATGTGAATACTATTTAATAAAGATGTGACTATGAGCTGTTATAAAAAAAAATTAAAAGCCCCAATACCTTTTGTCCATGGTGTGTATGTGCTTGTGTGTGTCTGCTACACACTGAGACACACGGACACACAGTGCGAGTGGCATGTATATTAAAGGGGGTCTGGAAATTATGTTGAAGAGGATCAAGTACCTCTAATGAGACATGTCCAAAGGAACAGATGTTAAATCTGCCACTGGAAGAAGTAGAGCAGTTATAACTTAACGCTTGGCATTTTGGCTAAGTCTTTAAGTGTGTAATTAGAATTTCAAATGTGTTTTGGCTGGCAGCTGTCCCTCCAGACAGAAGCAAGATGTCTTTCATTGTAGCTTCAATTTTTAATTTTTGCCTTTGCCAGAGGCACTTCTGAAACCCTATTTTCTAGACAGTTTATGAGGTTATGGAATTAGACGAAAGGTATCTAGCGCCACCGTGTGGATTCTGTAAAATTTGCAGTCAGCCATTGGTGGTTGGTGTAATAATTTTGAAGCAGGATCTTTGGTTAAAAAAAAATCACCTTTGGAGGATATGAGTTTCTTTTGGTAAATAAAACAAAACTCAGCTTTTAATCTGTAAATAAGCCAAGACAAACACGTATTTAAGAGATAATGAGGATTATATTTTTTTTACAGCTTTAAGCTGTCTAAGAGTGGGAGAAATGGTGAACTAAGAATCAGGATATTTATGTGTGTGTATAGAGAGATATATATGCAGATATAAACATACTTTTGTGATGCTTTAAAATTATTTTTCTTTTGAAAATCTGTTACTTATACATTTTTCTGTATGTGGACAACAAAAGCAGGGAATTAAAATTATGGTCAATAAAAGCCCCAAAAGAAAAGTCACAAACTATAAGAATCTTGACTCAAAAAAGACTGATGAAAATTAAAAACAAAATATGTACGGGGGCAAGTGATACAAAATACAGAAATTATGCTAATAATATGAAAACCAAGCTATTCAGTATTACATTTTCCCACATATATTTCAGAAGAATATAATACTTTCTGCTTCTAGCTGTTTGAAAGGGGGCATCTATTCAGTCTTTTATTAGATATTTCCAACGTTTTTGTAAAGGTATGTGCTGGATGACGCCCCAGCTCTGTCTTCAGTGCATCACTTCATCTCTCTGAACTTCAGTTCCCCAGAACTAGGGTGTTAGGTAGGAGTCCCACTTACTTATTTCCGCTCTTGTCTCCGTACTGTGGGTAACTTGAGAGGACTTAGCCCTT